CAAAGCAGCTTATGTAAGAAGTTTAAATTCCAAGATGAGATTAGAGCTCTGGAGACCAAGCAGGCCCGAGATTCACAAGGACTCACAAGGACTCGAACTACTCCTCTGCAGGTCAGACTTCACTTTTTAAAATTCTGTTTTCACTTTTAATGCTTCTGAAGGAAGCCCTTGGGAAGTCTTTCCAAGCCCTCAGTGGCCACATCCTCCTGCCGGTGCATGTTGTGGCTGATGGCTGGTCATGGCACTGGTCCCAACGACCGGCTTACAGGCTGCCTTTTCCTCCTCACTGAGACCTCACGTGATCCATTCTCTACTCTCTTGGCCTGGCCCTTGGGCGCCTGGGTTGGGGGAAACTCCACAAACGGTCACCTATAGAGCTTTGCTCCATGCCAAATATGCCCTTGATGGAGGGAACTGAGGAAGGAAACACAGAGGACAATTGTGTCAGGAGCTGGCCTGTGTCCGTGACAGCTCTGAGATCCAGGCAGAATCCGTGGAGGCTCCTGTAAATGGCTGCACTGCACCCTTTGGGAAGCCATTTTTCTTGAGATGAAAGTGATGATTGTTATCTAGGGAAGGGACACTTGGGCCTTGGAAGCAAGCTGTGGCTACCGGAGGGTCCCCCATCAGGTGTGTCTTCCTGCTCAGCATCCACCCCCTCCCAGTTCTGTCACCCCAATTCTCCTTTAGGGATCCACTCTTGCCTGTGATGACAGAGCCGACGCTGTATTAACCAAACCATTTCCTTCTCTTGCTAGGCACACAGAAGCCTCCATGTAGGTGAGTCATAGATTAATTCTGGCAACAGTATGTGAGCAAAAACTGTGTGTCCACTTTCAGGCTTGGCTTGGAATCTTCCTCTCCTCTTCTTTTCGAACCCTGGAGGCCACATGTTGAGGACAGTGGTTTCCGGGACTGGAAGGAGCTGGGGTCACTGTGGCCACTTTGAAAAGAGACACGGGACGGCCTCCTGACCGGGATTTTCGTAGTGAAAAACAGACGGCTGCTGTGGTACCCACTGACAGAAGATGGCTGTTTGCTCTATGAAGCTTGCAGTCTGCTAAGGCAGACAAGACAGCACCATTGAAGGAAAGAACAAGAGCCAGCGCTTGCAGGGTGCTGCTCCTCAGCCAGGCCTGTCACAACAAAGTACAGTTTCTTCCTCCATCCTCACTGTAAACTTTCAGGCTGTGAGCAGAAGATTCGATGAATGTTTGAATTTTCAAAATTGTTTTATAGTAAAAGACACGTGGCCATTAATCCCCCTCCTAACCCTCCCCCTTCACTCTAAACACACTTAGTCCACTGTTCTTGCCAATTTCCGAGGCAGTTCAGGGAGTCTTTTTTCATGAGTGTCTGATTTCACTGTGATAGCTGCCTCAATGTCCTAGATTGATTCCAAACGTTTACTTTTCATGGTCGTTTTGACTTTGGGGAAGAGCCAGGAGTCACATGGTGCCAAATCTGGTGAATACAGAGGAGGAGGATACAGCATAATATTTTTATTTGACAGAAATTGCCATAAATGCTTGATCAACAAGGGGTAATCTAAAACTATGTTGAATGTTTAAATAAATAAAATAGTTTATTACAGTAAAAGACACCTTACCATTATTCTCCTTTAAAATACTCAAAATATTTCCCCTGGCTTCAAACGCAATTATCTCATTGTTCTCGGCAATGTGTCTTTTAATGTAATGTTTTCTAATTAAAGCATTCACTGCAGTTTTCAATTCACCCCTTGCACAAGGTAGAAAATACTAATAATTCACCAATTTTCAGATAAAGGAGCTGTGATACTGAGTGTTAAGTCACCTGCTCCCAGCCAACAAGAGACAGACCTGGATCCAAGTCCTGCTTAATTAGGTGCCAATATTTCTGCTTTTAAACACTATGCTGCCTGCTTTGTAGTGCAGCATGTAGTTGTGCAAGAAACTATGCTAATGCCATGGGGGACAGATGAAGCATGACTCTCTGCTTAAGAAGCTGACAGTCACGTTTAAAATAAGGTTGGGAGGCAGCTACAGAGCAACACTGGCTATGGTTACATAAGAGATCCCAGAAGGAAAAGCTAATGGTGCCCTGGATGTCAGAGTCACTCTACCCTCTAGGCACCCCATGGGCCTGGCACTGTTTCAAGTGTATCTTCACAACAATGGATATGGACTATCATTATTTGCCTTACAGGAGAAGAAACTGAGGCCCAGAGAATTCCAGTGACTGGCCCACATACCCAGCTAGGAGATGGCTAAGTGAAGATGCACATCCATGCACCTGGCTGCAACGCTCACGCTCCTACCCACTGGTCTCTGCCTCCTCTCTATACTAAGCAGAAAGTCCGTGATACCCAGATTTTCAGTTTTCCCATTTTTCAGAAATAGAAAGCTGGGCTCATTATTTAACTTCTCCTACCTCAGTTTCTTCATCCATAAAATAGGCTTAACAATTTCTACTTTGTATGTACTGTTAGTAGTATTAAAAATTATTACCAATAGTAGAATCATTAGATACTGAAATGAACAGAAAAATGGAGAATAATAGTATTGTGAGGACAGAGAAATACATATAGATGTGTAACTGGGGCCCCAAATGTCTTAGAAGTCATAGACTGTTACAAGGAATAACTCAGTGCTATTGAGTCAACTAATATAAATATACCTGGTGCAAATATTTTCTGATTATTCCCTCAGTGCAGGGTTCTTCTGGATCCCTCTATAAGATTTCTCCATTACCTCCTTTTCTACCTTGTAACTTCAGAACTTCAGCTTCATTCTTTGTGCAAGAGCTCACTGCTTGAGCTAGAAAATAACATTGAACAACATGGTTTGTAGTGCTTTCTGCAAATCTTTACATTCTTCAGAGAAGAGAACTGACAAGGAGGAAAATGCACATCATCTCTCAGAGCATAATCTGAAACATTATTTTGCCAAAAGATCCCCCCCACACTGGATGTGGGGATGGGATGGAACAACGGAAGTGAAGACTTGTGTGTTTAGAGAACAATAAGGAGATTTCATTTAGATAAAGTGGAGAATGAATGAAGAAAACTTGAGAAATAAAAACTCCTAATTAGCATGTGAGGCTCTGGGAGGAGAAATCATTATTTTTGCAACTCAAACAGTTCCTGTTATATTACTGACATACCAGCCAGCCTCAGAGCAGCTCTGTACATAGTGGATTGTGTAGTTCCTTTCAAATATTCTTCCAATTATCTTACTTTCCAAAGTAACCAACCATTCCTGGTTGGGGAAAACAGTTGGAAATGTAAAGCCAGTTGGGGGAAAGGATGATAAGAAAAGACACAAAGGAAATATGAGGATAGAATCACCTTCGCTTTCTTTCTCCTTTTCTCTTCCCCGGCATCTAAGCCCAGGTACTGCCAATTTTTTAAATGTTGCTGAAAGAACATAAATGTTTGTTTCTTACAGCATTTAGCTCAATTAAGTCCAGAACAATTTTAAATACCTCCTGTGAGCCAGACCCTGTGATAAGTTGAAGAGTTTTTTAAAATCAGATACACACTCATCCTGGTTATCTCCTGATACCAGGACCCTCTGGATGCTCAAGTTCTTTATATAAATTTGTATTTGCAGTATAATCTGCTCACATCTTCCCATGAACTTCCTCTAGATTACATATAATAGCAAATATGATCGTTATGGTTTGGATCTGAGATGTCCTCCCAAAGCTCATGTATTGAAGGTTTGGTTCCCATGAGGTGGAAACATTGAGAGGTGATTGGCTCGTGAGGGCTCCGACAATATCAATGAACTGATTCATTGATGGGTTCATGATGTAAGCTTTGGGAGAGGAGCTTTGTCCGGTTCAAGATGTGACCCTTTGTTCCTACACCTGCTCCTATATGCCCACTCCTGCCCTCACCAGAGGCCAGGCAAATGCAGCCACCTGACCCTGGACTTGGAACCTCCAGAGCCATGGGCAGCAAACCCTTTTGTCTTTATGAGACAGCTGTCTTAGGCAATTTGTTGTAGCAATGCAAAACTAACACCCAGAGAATGGAGGCTTGAACAAGCTCTCAGCCCCCTCCCATCTTGAAGACTGTGGAGGCCGAGATGTGGAGTAGACCAGTGGGATTCTCTCCTTAGAAAAGAGACCAGGCTTTGTGTAAGGCAAGGAAGTGAAAGGTATTCAGTGAAGTGAGGGGCCTATTGGATATGAGCAGGGTTTACTGATTGTGAAATACAGGGAGAGAGGTTCGGGGTGGGAGGTGGCTAAGAGTCAGGAGCGGAGGAGGACAGATGCCCAGAGGGACACCTGGGTGGGCGGTACCTGGGAAAGAAACAGGATGAGGGTAGCGCACCAGGTCTCCCCAGCCGCTTTGACAGTGCTTGGGTCTGGCGAAATTCAACCTGGCAGGTGGGGCTGGGCCATCACCTCTTGTTCCCCATGGCTTGGCACATGGCATGGATTTCCAGCGAGTGATCATCGACAGTCCTTAGGAGGCCCTGTGCTGCCGTGGGGCATCCCTGGTCTCTGGATTAAGACTGCCACAGAGGCTGCGGCTGGTGGAGTGAGGAGGGGCCCCTCGGTACAAGTGGAGGACACGGCTTTGCGGAAACTGAGGTGACCAGTATGGGTTACGGTGGCTCCCACGGGGCCCTGGTGGGGTACAGAGGGAGGCTGTGTGGGGGGAGGCTGCTGGCTGGAAGACATGAGACTGACAGCGTGTGGCATCCAAAAGGGGGTGCTGGGGGGGCGGATGAAGACCCTGGCCTGAGAGTGAGAAACGAAGCTGAGAGCTATTGGCCCACATCCGAGTGGGGCGAGTGAGATACCATGACCATGTGAGCAGACTCTGGCCGCGCTCCCCCGGCCCTCAGGAGTGCAGCAGGCCTTGGCTACGCTCTACCGATTAAATATAAAGAAGAAGCTGCGAGTGGTGATGCACATCTGTAACCCCTGCAACACTCTGGGAAGCTGAGGCAGGAGGATCACAGATCCAAGCCTACCCTGGGCCACTTAGCAAGTTAGGAGAACTTGTCTCAGAATTTTAAAAAGGGCTGTGGATGTAGCTCAGTGTGAAGGTCCTGGGTCCAATCCCCAAAACCACCAAAAAAAGAGGAAAAAGATGTGCCTCCCTCCAGCAGAGGGAGCTCAGTACACGAATTAGCAGAACAGCGCGTTTTCCTCTGGGGACAGGGCGATCCCCGCCCTCTGGAGGTGCAGATCAGTTTGCCCACGCTTTGCGACGATAGGAAAAAAACAGGGACGATGGGCACCAGAAAGGGAGGCCTCAGGGTCCAGCCTGCTGCATATCTGGTCCCCCGGGAGGGACTGTGAGTCTCCCTGCCCCGCCCCTTTTTCCTGCAGTTGCGGCGAGGGTGCCTCGATGGAACCAAACCTGTTCAGGAAATCTAAGAACTCGAGCGCAGTCCCGTGTGTAGACGAGAGCTGAGGGAGCCGCGAAGAAGGCTGAGAACAGCTACTCGCGGTCAAGGTCATGGCGGGGGCAAGGTCACGGGCTCCCCTCTCTGCCCTGCACCCCGCCAGGTTACACAAACCAGCTGGCCCGGGTCTGTGTGGGAGGCGGAAGCTCGTGAGGGTGAAGGCTGCTGTGTGAGGCTAGTGAGGACAGGCCCTGCTGCCAGCGCGAATCACGTGAGTGACCTCCACGTAATAAATTATTTAACTATAAAACTTGCTAAGCGCTAGCTAGCATCTGACCTTCTTCAACTCCTCCAGGGCCCGCCTCTGCCCCTCACTGTGTCCAGCCCCAAGCCGAGGCCACAGCTTCCCCCGACCCCCTTTGCTAAGGGCGCCCCCTGCCTGTCGCCCTTCTAGTGGCACCTGCAGCTAAATCTCCCTCAAATGACCGTGCGTTCACGCACCTAGGTCTCTGGCCCTTCCCAAAGCACTGCCACAGACAACACTGTACTTACTCCTTTGGAATCATTAAAAAATTAATTCTATACACATCTGTGTATATCCACATTTCTAATTTTTCACCAAACCAACACAGCTCTCCCAAATCTTATCTGGAAAACAATGCACTCCAATTACTAATTTCCCTTTACACATTTTGTCCTCCCCCGGGGCCATTTTTCTCCTGGCTCTGTATTGTGTGGGCTTCCTCGTCTCTTCTTAACTAGAGCCCACCTCCTCTGGCCCCTTCATCTGTTTTTTCCCCACACCCTGCAAACAGGAGTTCCCTCCTGGAGATGGTGAGCCGAAGCCAGCTAAAACACCACTGCTCTACTTGTCAAATAACCAACTCCTCTCCTACTCGAGTCGTCGGTGGACAGCACCATGTAGCAAGGAGATTCAGCTCCTGCCTCCACTTCTGGATCTACCTGAGATGCTTAATGCTTTTCCACTGTTTTATTTACCTTGCTGTCCATATCTTACTTAATAAGGGCATCATTTCTTGATGTCTCAAAGATGTTCACTTGTCTTTAACAAAATATTTTCTGGCCCCTCTGACATTCACTTATATATACTCAAATCATTTTTTCTCATGATTTAGAAAAAAATATTTTGCAATGTGTGTTTGACAAATGCCATCTTGTGGTACAAAATCCTCCCTTATAAACGAGGGAGTGTGGAGACCGCGTGCGTGGGCTCCAGACTGCAGACTCAATGCCTGTCTCTAAGCCAGGTACTTAATCCCCGGAGCTTCTGTTCTTACCCATCCCACTGCACAAACGATGTTCCGAGTGGCTGCAAAGGTGGGCTGAGTTAACAGGTGTGCAGCGCTTAGAAGAGCACCCGGCTCACCTGGTGAATGGCAGCTGTGATCGTCGAAGTGTTAATCAGCAGGTTGCTGTTGACAACAACCGCAGACCCGGGCAATCCTGTCTTCAATCACTGATCGTTTCCATCTCGGAAGGAGACACTTAGGGCTCTGTCCGTTGCTGTTTCTGCACACTGCTCTGCACTGGCCACACCCCATTCCAGGCCTGCCCTTTTCCACAGGGCAAAGAAAGGTGGGGATTGAGCTGGGAGTTGAGTCCCGGGTCCTAAACTAAGAACTCAGTTGGGCAGAAGATATCATCTCCCTGGGAGGCTGAGGCAAGAGAATTGCGAATTTGAGGCCATCTGGGCAACTTGGGAGACTTGATGAGACCCTGTCTTAAAAATAAAAAGGGCCTGAGGATGTAGCTCAGTGTGAAGGTCCTGGGTCCATTCCCCAGTCCCCCTCACCCACTTCACCCCCAAATAAGCGAAGACATCATCTCTGCTCTGCAGAGGGTAACGGCTTTCTGAAAGGAACTCCTAACCAGCACCCCCAACCAGGCTTATTACTCCTGTCTCAGTGGGTGGGGAAGGAATAGCTCTGCTTTTCCACGCAGAACACGTGCCTGAGCCGGCTTCCAACCGAGGCCAAGGTGAGAAAGCGTGGCCTGAAAGCCAAGCTTCCGCTCAGTTTTCCTGTGCACTCTAAAATGCGTCTGGAGTCAACCACACCAGCAGTGACATGGCTGGCCCGTGCTCAGCCACGGCCACCAGCTGCCTGCTCCCTCCCCCGAGTCCCACCCTCCCGCCTGCACCCTGGAGCAGAGAGGCCCCCAGCCACAGCCTGGATGCCCCTTCCAGGCCATCCCTGCTGTGCTGAGGCTTGGCTGCACCATGGCCTCCCAGCGGGCAGCCGTGAGCCAGGGGTTGGGCAGGACAGGATGGACACGCTGGGCTGTGCCCCAGGCCCACCTGGGGGCCGGACAAGCCCAGATGGGAACAGGAGATGGAGGTGCTGTGGGTCTGAGGTCTGTCTTATCTCTTGTCGCAGGTCCATCACTGCTCTCCTGAACAGATTTGATTTCACTGCATCACAGCGCCAGCCCCAGGACTTTGCCCTGGAAATGAGGAGCAGATCTGCTGGATTTCTTCTGAAGACCTCATTTCTTGCTTTCTCTTTGGACACTATCAATGCTGTTGCACACAGAGCTCCCTAACAAGCCCACGGGGTCAGAGCACTGTATACTAATTCACATGGGCCTTATCTTATTTTTCTTACTCTTATTTTCCTTCCACACCAACACTGTTTATAAAAATTCTCGTATCGTGTATATTTTGTAAATCACCCCATATCCTGTCTGGACAGGGTTGGACAGAAAACAAAAAGGGAGAAGGGGTTGGGGTTGGGGGGCAGCTCAGCACTAAGCCCTGGGCTCCCCAGCCATGGAGGGGGTTGGGCAGAGGAAGAAGTGGGAGAGAGAGAGAAAATGACTTCACCCTTAGAATGAGCCCACAGAGCCCAAGCAAGGACGTCTTCACACAGTGCTCTTCACGCAATGCTGGTGTCAGAGAACAGGGTGACCGTGAAACCCAGCACCCAGCCTGGTTTCCTGCCAGCTCTCCGTAGAGGCACAGGTAAAGTCCACACACCTTGTCTTCTATCTTCCATGCACCCAGGCACCCTGAGGCTTCTGCAGGGCGAACAAGCCGCAGGCAGGGAGAGGCCCAGAGCCCAGAGGGGAGACGGCACTCACCTAAAGAGTGACTTTCAAGCTCTCCAGATTCACACTTGAGCTTGCAGCCCAACCATAGAGGCCCAGGCTGAAGTCTACACAGTCACGGCACACAGCAACCTGTGAGGCAGACTGGAAACTCCTGAATTTGGACAGCCTCCAAAAAGAAGTGAACCCGGGGCTTCCCATGACCCATTCTGGAGGGGAAACATTTCTGGAAGCCAAGCATTCGCCCCGGGACATCTCAATACAGACACGGCCCGGAAACAACCACAGTTTGCTTTATTAGGCGTTCCATGGTAATATAACACAGAGTTCTTAAGGAATGATAAACACGAGACTTGTTGTTTTACCATAATTATTTTGCCATTAAGACAGTGAGTGGTTACAAAAACAAAACTAAAAAACAAAAACTAAAAAACAAAAGAACTTCTCTGGTTACACACATGATCAGCTTTAGCACTGGAAGGTCCTCCACTCATGAGTCACAATCACAATTTCAAGGGTTAAAAGCCACCTAGTATTAAATCCTACACTGGTTTAGAGCATCAAGTCACTGCAGTTACTCAGTTCTGAGACACTGTCCATTTATTTTAGCATTTACATGACATTCATTAACAGATACACAAAGCAAGCCAACAGGTAAACATGCTTACACAGCCTGCGGGAATCTTCGGGTTTAGAATTGTGGTTTCTTTTTTTTAAGAAAATAACCGAAACAACCAAAATTACCATGGCCCAGTACGGGAAAGACAGGAAGAGGAGCGAATACTGAAGAGCTGCATGTGTTTCTTAGAATTGAAACAAAAATTTCTTTTCCAACTTGTTCCAATTTCCTCTAAGTATAGGTGAGAAGAAAAAAAAGCAAATATATTAAGTCAACCAATTCCTTTTTTTTAAAAAAAAAAGTGCAATTTACCTTTCAAATAACAAATAAACAACAACAACAAACCAAAACCCCGACCACAAACCCCAAAGGCAAAAACGTGTGGAGAGACAAGGGTCACAGTAATGACAATGACCTACTTTCTGATGTCACGCTTTACAAAAGCCGATTTGGTTTCACAGAAGCCCGCAAACCTGACATTGCTCATGAGAACCTGCACACGGGTCTGGAGAGAAACTCGAGGCGGTCAGCAGGGGCAGAAAGCAGGCGGCCAGCACAAAGGGGTCACTGAGGCAGGAGGGAGGGGCGCGGCCCAAGGTCCCCTGTGATCTCTACTGTCCACACACTCCACCTGGAAGATTTTTTTCCCCAATCGGCCCTGACATGACCCATGGGTCATAAAACAGATTTTTTTTCCTCTCTTGCAAAGTAACATGGACGTTCAGCCAAATTTCCCAAGGGATTTCTGAGTTTGTAAAGCCCACCTTGTACTGCATTATCGCTTTTGAAATAACTGGACAAGATAAAAATATGGTGTTTTCCCCACAGCGAGAAACCTTGGTATATTCCGGAACCCAAAGATCCTTCATGGGGCCTGGGCACTGCCTGCCCGGGCCTGGGCGGACTCTTTCAAAAAGCACTCAACATGCCACCGCCTCACCCTTTGGGTGCCCATGCCTCGAGGCCCGACTTGGCCCGGGGCTGGCATGGGTGAGAACCAGCCATCCCGTACCTGGCAAGAGACAACCTCGCACGCACCACTCGTGACCGTGGGCGGTAGCACCAGTCTGACAAGGACCGGGAAGACACGGGTGGGGGCAGCCGGGCAAGGGAAGTCCTTCCTTCCGGCGGGTTCTGACCGGGACCCGGGACACCTGGCGACCAGAAAAGACCTCGGGGGAAGGAGGGAGAAACCCAGCCTCTGGCGAGGGCCAGGGAAACAGGAGGCAGACGCGGGCATCTGAAATATTCATGAACCAAAAAGCTAGAGAGCAAGAGAGAGGGGTGGAAACGTGGCAAGGAGAATCCTCAAAAGACCTAATCCACTGCAAAAACCCAGGCCAAGAGGGAACCTGCCCTTTCACAACAGCTGACTCAGAAGACTGGAGGGGAGGGACGCTCGGGAGCCGCTCGGGAGGGACGAAGCAACTTTGCCAACCACTCGGAGAGCATGATGGTTGCATAATTAATTGCATCATTAGGATGTCCAGTTCAAACCCCGTGTTAACACTGAATCACTTTCCAATTTAATATTTAAAAAGAAAAAACTCTCTCCCACCCCACCCCCAGCCCCACAGGAAAAAAAAAAGAAAGAGAAAAAACAGCCTTCTTAAAAATTTAAAAAGCAAAGACAAAAAGGCAGCTCAGGGCGATTCACTGTATCCTCCCCGTGACAAGGAAGATGCTGGCTCTGGCTCGGAGGGCGGAGCGGAGGAGCCCGGACCTGCTGTTTGTGGCGCACACACCTCTGTGTCGGAGGCAGCTCCGTGCAGGGCCAGGGCGGGTGCTAGGCGTGGGTGTGGTGTTCACGGGTGGGTGGGGAAGTGGGTGCGCGAATTCGGTAACTCCAGGTGAGAGGCAGAGGGTGGGACCCCAGGGGTAGCCCCAGGAACTGGCTGCCCACAGCAACTATCACAGGCTCTTTAAAAAAAAAAAAAGGAGGAGGAGGAGAAGAAGGAGAAGGAAGTCTCAGAATGTCCTCGGGTGTCCCATCCCTGTCCCCAGCGGACCGTGGGCACAAGAGCTTAGCCCAGGCTGGTGATGTTGGCACGGCCACCAGGGGGCGCCACGATGCGCTGGGTGGTGCGGCGAGGGATGTTGTCATCAATCTGAGCGCCTGGAGAGGAGGAAGTGGAGAGAGAGAGACGTGAGGATCCACAGCTTGAAACCCAGGCCACCCGGCCCAGGGGAAGAAGGGCCAGGCGCATTCTCTGCCCTTTTCTCAGAAGCGCGGGAAATGTTCACACTGGGGAAAGGAGATAGGCCATGGTTGCCCGAGCATCACGGGGTAGATGTGGCCCTTCGGGATCGGCGGGCTCCTTAACTGATAAAGCCAGATTAAAGCTGTATTTCATGGGCTGTGGAGGCTGCTCAGTGGGAAAGCACCGGCCTCACGCGTGCATGGCCGTGGGTTCACTTCCCAGTACTGCCAAAACACAAACAAAAGCCCCTATGCTTCAGACTCCATCTGGTCTCCACTTCTGTTAGTCAAACAGGTGCAGCCTTTCTCGAGACACTGCCCTCCCTGGCACTCAGCTCCCCTCATCCTCTGCATGAGAAAAAGGAGAAGCAACAGCAGCGCAGGATGAGAACCGAAGCCTAAAACTCTGTGAGCATCAAGATGGCATGAGTGGAAAATTCTGCAACTGAACTCCTGGGACAGGGTCACCACAGGAACACAGGTGCACTAGAACTACGGTATGGAACACCCCGTCTAGGTGGATAAGGTATGCGTGAAGCAGAAAGAAATTCTGTGTTTAGGCTTGGGTCCTATCCAAGATGTTTCACTGTGCAGAGGGAAATACTTTCAAATTTCCAGAATTTTTTAAAATCCAAAATGGTTCTGCCTTTCAGATAAGGGGGCCCCCTCAACGTGAGCCTTCGATTCGAATGGTCCAAAGAGAAAAGAGAGTGTGGATACCACGGTGGCCATTTCAATTTATGAGAAAATTATAATTCACTCTTATGACACTTTCTGAAAATGGGGAACCCAAAAATGGCACATACGGTAGCTTTCTAAAAACCAGTAGATCTGGTAAGAAAAAGCAAAACCCGCCTCATGAACCCTGTTTAACACAGCACAAACTTGGTGCCTATCTGGGAGAACAGAAGGGGCGGTCACAGCCAAGGGAGGGGTGGCAGGGAGTGGAAGGACGGAGACCCGAGATGTGAGCCGCGTCCTCTCACAGGGCAAAGCACATATTCCATCAAGCAAATGGCTAAGGCGTCCAATGGCCAGGCTCTAAGCTTCCGCAGAGATCCACTCTCCCGCCCTCCCAGAGGCCCGACAGGGAGCCGCGCTGTAAAACCCGTCATGCAGATGAGACCAGACAGCCGCAGCTGAGCTACCACACTCCACGCCCCGAGCTCCAACAGCACCCTTCTGGTTTGAGACAAGGTCTCGTTAAGTAATCTGGGCTGGCCTTGAACTCACTATGTAGCCCAGGCTGGCCTCACACTTGCGGTGATCCTCCTGCCTCAGCCTCCCCTGGGCTGGAATTACAGACGGGACCCACCATGCCTGGCAACAGCATATGAAAGCCATCCCCGCCACCGATGGGGCATCATGGCACGGGCGTGACATGAACTGATCTCGAGGCTCTGGGGCCCCGCTGGCCACGTGCTGGAAGGGCACGTGTGGGTAACAGGCGCGTCCTGGCCCTGCCCTTGGCCCGCTCACCAGACAAGCTGAATCCAGACTGGTGCAGGTTCCGCACAGGTGGGGCCTGCTGCTTGGCAGGAGACGTCTTCGCCGAGGAGGCTGGGGTGACCGTCTTGGGCGTCACGGACACCTCGCACACGGGCCCGTCGTACAGGCCGCGGGGGACCCCTCTCAACTCCGCCAGCTGCAAAACACAGCGCCCTCGCTCAGGCCGCGCCTGAGGACACCGCCCGGGCCCGCGTTCCTGGGCACAGAGGGCTCTCCCAGTGTCCGGTACAACCAGGGCATAGTGCAGGGCAGCAGGCCCAGCTCCCCACTACGTGGCCACTGGTTATTCTTCCATGAGAGCGAACACTATGACCTGTCCCTGAAGTCCACCTGATCCCGGGTCCGAATCACCCAGGCATGCTGGGAGTTCTGCTGTCAGGTTCAAGATCTGCCCCTAACTTCCTCTCCAGTCTCATGCTCCCTGTAATTTTCTCACCACTCCATCGCAGCCTTGTCCACGTGGGCTGGTGTGTGGGACCTGTTCACCACGGCCCGAGTGCACTGTACATTTTCCATGCTTATGACATTCTCTCTACCTAGTTCATTTAGCTTCCTTCTTCGACTTGACAATCTCCTACTTAACCTTTAAAACCCAACTCAAAATGCCCTCTCCCATGACACCTTCCTCCATGACTACTCAACAACGGTTCCCTCTCCTAACCCTCACCTTATACTCCTTATCAGAGCACCTACTTCAGTCTTACTTTGTCCCAGAAATGAAAAGATCAGGTTCTTATTCTTCCAGCCACCCCTCCCCATGCATATCTCTTTATTCTGACTCAACGTGCTTAATAACAACAAGTCTTTGTGGGACTGAACTCAGTGCATGATTTCAAAAATCCCTAAGAGCAAAGCCACTCACCCTGCTCCTGGCCTTGATACGCTTGTAAACAAAGTCAGGGAAAGGCTTCCGGGGGATGTAGCGCCCAGAGCCCTCTGTGACATGCAGGGTTCCGTCCTCCAGCACAATCTTGCCCTGGCTGATGACCACCAGTGGGGAGCCACGGCACTCCACGCCTTCGAAGATGTTGTACTCGAGCGCCTGGGGAGGAGACATAAGGTCAGCCTCAGAAGGCACACCTGACCAGTGTGCAGCACCCCTGCCGGCCCCAGGGCCAGGGTCCCTGGCCCCTTGCCACCCGAGCCACTTCTCTGTGTCCTGCTTTCCCTGTCTAGAACACGGAATGCTTTCCTACAACTCCAAAGGCACAGGGGAATGGTGTGGGGCGAGTGTGTGTTTGTAAATGCTACACAAATGTCAAGGAAACGACTCCTCCTATCAGCAGTGACTTCCCCACCAAGCCAAGCAAGCACACAGCAGGCTGGGTACTGGGGATTAAACCAGGGCCTTCACCAAGCTACTTCCCCACCTCTTTTGGTTTGTTTTTTAATTTTTTTTTATTTTTTTATTTTTAATTTTTGGTACCGGGGATCGAACTTGGGACCTTCCGCTTAAGAGGCAGGCGGAACCACTGAGCTAAATCCTCGGCCCTTGGTTTGTTTTATTAAATTTTGAGAAGACTCACTAAATTGCCCAGGCTGACCTCAATGGTGCAATCCTCCTGCCTCTGCTTTCCAGAGAGCTAGGATTATAGACATTCGCCACCACCATGCCTGCCTTTGTCAACATTCTTAGAGTCAGCGGGGAGAAGCAGGGCAGTGGCGCTGCCGTGGAAAGGTCTGGATGGGGCAGAGAGGGACCAAGCTGCCTTCCAGAACATTCGCTCCTTCGCCCTGCCCCCTGCCGTCCACACGGAGAACCCAAGTCCTAGCTCCAGCTAGGTGGTCTGTGCCGTACATCACGAGCCCTGTCTGCCTGTCTCCACCTCTGGGGAAGGGGCCTTGCAAGGGAGGGCAGCACTTTATCCACCCAGCCCCGTCCAAGAAAGAAGCTGCAGTCTGGCAGGGCAGAGCCTGAACAATTTCAGGTTCTAATTCCGGCCCAACCGCAAAATCGCTATGTAACATTAGACTGGTCACTTAAGCTCTCTACACCTCCATTTATTTATCTTCCCACTGGGGATAATAACATCAGTCCCTTTATGGAGAAGCTCAAATGACAGATGGAGGGAGATGCGAAGTTAGACGCATCTGAATAGGCGGGTTCACCAGAAGGACATTGCTGCAGACCCCGAGCGCAGTGATCTAACGTTGTAAGTGGGTGTGGCCACTGGCTACGCTGCCAGCACGGAAGGAGGCCAAAGTCTATAAATACGGAGCTGACCAGCCTTCAGAGAAGCCACCAACAAACTGCCACCCACAGGTGCCACAGAAGTTGGGAGCCAGACACGTCCCAGCCCAAGCCCCTCTGTCCAAGTGAAAGAGGATTTGGACCCAGCAAAGGACTCTGTCCTGTCCTGGAGATGCCAGAACCTGCCCACAGCACTGTGTGACTTGGGTGGCATCTGTCCTTGCTGTCCCGGGCCATCTCGGGGGAAAAGGGGTGGTCTGAATCATATTATAGAGCTGGCTTTCTGCTTTAAATTTCATCCCAAACATCCTCCCTATTCATTAAGAATTCGTTTCAAGGGCTGGGATTTAGCTAAGTGGTGCTGTCACCTGCCTCACAAGCACAAGGTCCCAAGTTTTTTTGTTTTTTTGTTTTGGTTCCGGGGATCGAACTCGGGTCCTTGAGCTTGTGCAGCAGGCAGCTAAACCACTGAGCTAAATCCCCGGCCCCACAAGGTCCCAAGTTTGATCCCTGGTACCCCCCCAAAAAAGAATTCACTTCAAGATTCAAGTGAAGTCAGGACACAAAGCACTTCTCCAGAGATCTCCCCTGGTCCATGCTTTTTCGGTTTTATAGGGACACCAGTTTTTGTGAGCAATCAGTGATATCTAACACTTCTTCTTTAATCACAGGACACCCAGAAATCTTGCTGAGCCCTTCAAACTCAGCTAAGGACCCTAAAACACTAACAAGACATTGCACCCCAAGCTCTGGGGCCCAGATCTAGAGGCAGGAGCAGACCTTAAATCATGAGCAAGGGGCCGAGGGTACTTCTTCTGTGTGGGGAGAAGTCAAAGTTGATCAGTTCCTTTAGGACAGTGAGAGCAGCTGTCATTACAGTTTCCGGACATGAGAAAACGTGGCTTATAAAAATGAAAGGGCCTGGTGGGCCTCTCAGGATTGGACATTTGACAGCTTTATTTAGGCTGTGTTATAACTGGAATCCAAAATGTTCCTGAAAAGGGCTTGTTGTATTGAAGCCTTGGTTGCTGACAGGCTCCTGGGAAGTGACTGGATCATGGGGATTCGCACCTCCTCGAGAGGATTAATCGTAAGTGGATGGCATTATTGGGAGGGATGGAAACAGGAGGTGGGATCTAGTGAAGAGAGTGGGTCACAGGGATGGGACCTTCTATCTGGTCCCTGGTCTCCTCCTCTGTCTCCCCTTCTGTCTCTGCCTCCCGGCTGCTGTGACGTGAGTAGCTTTCCTCTACCATACTCTTCCAACAGGGTGCTCTACCTCGCCTCAAGCAGAGAACAGTGGAGCCGGCTGACCACGGACTGCAACCTCTGAACCCGTGAGCCCCAGTAAACCCTTCTCCTTTTAGCTGATCTCTCCCAGGTACTCTGTGACAGTAACAGAAAGCTAACTTACACAGGTCCCTTGCATCAAGCACCACGAGAGGTGCTGCACTAAACCAAGAAATGGAATGGGACCTGGCTTCTAGAAGCGTCTGACATCTCAGTGTCATTTTGGAGACTCTGAAAGTCCAAGGACAGGGAGACTGCGCTACTACAACAGATCCGAGTGACAGTCTTACCAGCCTCACTAAAGAAATGAAATAGTCTCCAACTACTGACGGGATCATACGGCTTTCTCCTTTCCTCTGTTAAAACGATGACTTTTGGGGGTGGATCTTCCCATGCTGAACCAACACTGCCATCCCTATAACAAAACCACTTTCTACATCCTGCTAGATCTGACTTCCAATTGTTTTGTTAAACAAATTTCTATCTATGTTCATACTTTTTTCTTCTATTATCTTTATCCAGTTTTAGGATTAGCACAATGTTGAGTTCCTAAAATGAGGGGAGAAGTGTTCCTTCTTTTTCCTACTTTAGTTGTTTGATATAATTTATCCGTTAAAATGTTTATGAGCCTGCTGTTGTCATATAGGTAGGTTTTCAAGCTAGGAATATACTTTCTTTAATAGGTGCTATTCAAATTTTATATTTCCTCCAGAGTTAGTTTCATTCATTTGTCTTCTAAGTGACTTCTTAGAAGTTATCAAATTTATTTCAAAAAAGATTTTTGTAATATGCTTTCTATATCCTTTTAAATTCTGTAAAATCTGTGGTAATGTCTCCTAGATCTTAATATTGTAATTTAAAAAATGTATAACTGATATTGTGTAACAGGAAGAAAAGGTCTAAAAGAGCAGGGGAATTGGGAGAGGTAGGGGAAGGGAAGAAAGGGAAAGGAAAAAATATGAGAAGAGGAAAAAGATGGAAACAAGGTCTTTGCAAATAGGGAAGGGTGGAGGGGGTGAAGGGAGGGCAGGGGAAGGGGAAAAAAAATAAGAACCAAGAGACTCATGTAAAGGTACAAGATCCCGATGATGACTGTAACTCTATTGTGTACCTAAAATGGACCAATAAAGTTAATGGGGGGAAAACAAAGAAATGAAATAGGTGTTTTTCTTCTCAGCAAACTGCATGTTACAACCAAGGAGAAGTTCACTCCCATCCTAGCGAGGTCTATCTAGAAGCCCTGGGACTCTCCCTCCCTCTGTTCTTTCGGTGACTATTGCACGTGGACTGAGTCCACATGGTGAGCAGGCCTTACGCTGTTGTGTGTCTTGGCCGAGATGGTCTTCATGCTGTCGGGGTCCCAGATGACCAGGTCTGCATCGGATCCCACAGCGATGCGGCCTTTCCGGGGGTAAAGGTTGAAGACTTTGGCTGCATTGGTGCTGGTCACAGCCACAAACTGGTTCTCATCCATCTTTCCAGTGACCTGAAGAACACACGCATGTACACACATGCAGACACACACACGTGTGCACACAAACACAGCAAGGGTCACAAAGGTGAAGGCTCAACACTATCTAGCAATAAAAAGGGACACATATTGATACACACAACTTAAGTGTCTCCTTCGATAAAATCCAGGCACAGATCTACAGCTCTAGTCTAGACAGCTGCAAGTCTCAACCTCGTGTCTCGTGTCTCATGTACGGTACACAGTTATACAGCACAGGGGGCCAATCGCCTTTCCTAAAAAAATTCAGTAGAACAAAGGGCCAAGGAAATGAGCGTGCATTAAGAGGGAGGAAAACCCCAGTACAGCCCAGAAAAGAGAGGAAAAAAAGATACAAATGGCCAGTTCGCATTTGGAAAAATAATCATTCTCATCAGCAGCTGAAGAAAATAAGTGTCCAACAATCAGACTAAGAATGCACTTATCAATTCAGCAATCCTTCATTTTTGTGCTCATAACAACAATAATAATAATAATAATACCTGTTTAGACCTGAAGAAGAAACTGGGAGTGTCATACATTGTTGGTGGCACAGCAAATGGTACAATCTTTCTGGAAGGAGCTTTTAACAATATATAATAGCAGCCTTAAAAATATACACACTCGGGCCGAGGATTTAGCTCAGTGGTTCCGCCACCGGCTTCACAAGTGCAAAGTCCCAAGTTTGATCCCCAGGACCAAAAAAATATATATATATACACTCTTTGACCCAGCAATGCTACTTCTAGAAATTTCTCCTACTAACATAATTAAGGATGTGTCTACAGGGTTGCTCGTCCCAGTGAAAAAATTAGAAACAAAGTAAATGCTTAACTAAAGGATTACAGGTGAATTATTGTTGAGCATTACGATGGAGTCGCCTGCTGTTAAAAACCAAGTATGTAAAGAAGAAACTTTTTCATGATATATTGGTTTTTTTTTAAAAAAGGCCATAGAATAAATAGTATGTGTGGTGCTAATGTTATTTACAACTTGCTCATACCATACATGTTTGTGCATTGGCGAAAAATGAAAAGACAGTCGCCAAACTGTCTATTATAGTTACATCTGAAACAAGGTGATTTTTATTTACATAACCTAAAATCACTAAACAACAGGAAACCAGTTATTATATATTAAAATGAAAAGGCTCAGGGTCAGGGTCTGTCTCAACTGAGCAGATCAGATGCCTGTTTGGGGTAGAAATGCGAAATCCAGACGGCCCTCAAAAACTGTCTTGAGGAAACGGAGTGCCATTTTCCGGAGTTAATTGAGGGGCACCAGGTGGCTACGGAAACTTTTTCCTGACACACAGGCATCATACAGGGCATGATCACAAAATATGGTGAATGTTTAATTTTTTTAACTTATTACAGTGAAAGAATGAGTGGATCCCTCTCAAAATGCTCCCTGTCACTTTGAACACATTTATCCCTTCATTCTTGCCACCTTCTGAAGTAATTCTGAAAGTCTTTTTTTTGGACTGTCGTGGCTGCCTTGACGTCCTGAATCCTCTCAAAATGTTTACCTTTCACGGTCATTTGAACTTTGGGGAAGGGCACGAAGTCACACAATGCCAAATCCAGTAAATGAGTGGGATGAGGGCACACTGTAATGTTTTTATCTGACAGAAACTGAAATAAAAGTTTTGAATCAGTTCAGGACATTGAAGCAGCCATGACAGCCCAACTAAAGACACTGATAAAGGAAGACTTCCAGAACTGCTTCAGAAAGTGGCAAGAACTATGGGATAAGTGTGTCCACAGCAACGGGGACTATTTTGAGAAGGGTTAGTGTCAACATGTCTTTTACTGAAGTTAATTTTTTTTTTTGGTACCAGAGATCGAACTCGGGACATTGCACTTGCGAGGCAGGCACCAGAAGCACTGAGCTAAATCCCCGACCCGTTAATTTTTTTAATTTAGATATTCGTCATATGTTCTGATCACACTTCATATTGAAGTCTCTATAGATGAGAAGGATGAGTTATGTATAATACTTAGGAGAAAAGGACTGTTGGAGTGGCTGTGGATCTCCAAACCTAAGAAATCCCACCACACAAGCGCTAGCTTCTAGAACTTTGTGCACTGGCATTTCAAGGCCAGTATGAGCCCCACACCCACAGAGGAGGGGGCAGGTGAAGGCTAAGGCCACTGCTCCTTACCACAGCCTTATCCCAGATGACAGACATCCGCTCCTCGGTGCCATTGGTGCCCTCAGGAATCAGAGTGAAGTTGTCCTTTCCTACGGCCTTCTGGGCGGTGTTGAAGGTACAGTGGGCACTGCCAGTGACCTGGAGGTCTCCACTGGAAGGAAACACACAACACACTGCTGCAGCTTCATTATAACACTGTGTGCCTCGACCTATTCTGTGAGGCATTTGGGGGGGACATCACACCAGTGATAGCGGGGCCCTCTGACACCTCATTCATCCCCTTTGGTTGACTATCGCAATGGTCCAGGTCTGTACGGGGACCTCCCTCCCAGGACGGTGACACAAGGATAATTCCTTGCTCTTGTTGAGTGGTCCCAGTTTGCTGAATAAGAGTCTACTGTCAGTCCTTGGCCACCACGTCATCACCTACCAGGTCAGCTCGGTCTGAGAAGGAGAATGAAAAGTGCGAACAAGATGCCAGGACTCACCACGACAGCAAGGAGTTCAGGAAGTCTGGAGTGGTTGGATCGGGGCTCAGGGGTGGGGAGGTGACAAAGGCTGCAGCCTTGGCCCAGTTCTTGCTCCAGTAGTGGGAGCCATCTGTCCCCAAGCTGGCGGTGATAGGCTCACCATACACCACGGTTCCTGACAACCGGAACACAGGAAGCTCAGTCTGACACCACGCGGAAGGAGGCCAGGCTTCCCGGGAGGCACTACCTGCACGTCCAGGCCCACCATTCCCTCAGAGGAGATGCAGCCTGGCCTCACAGGTGAGGAGACTGACGTGGCGAGGTCGGGTTCCCACACCACGCATGCGCCTGCAAGTTTCCCTGTGTCCACTGCTCCTGGGAGTTGACACATCTCCCTACGTGTCCCAGACACCTTCAGGCTTCTGCCTCCTGGCTGCTGATCCCCAACCTCAGTGAGAATCTCCAGCTCAGATGGCTTCCATGCACCCACTCCCAAGGGCCACCTAGACACATCTTTCGGGGTGATCAACAGACTCGACCATACCGTTGAGCACCTGCCCTCTCTGTTTTTGTGGTAATGGGGATTGAACTGAGAACCTTAAACTTGCAAGGCAGGCACAGTGCCACTGAGCTAAATCCTAGGCCCATCACTCACCCTCCCTGCTCACACTCGACAGACCTTCAGGCCGGGTCTCATTCTGGCTAAAAGCCAATGAGAGGAAATCCCAAGGGGTTTCATCTGGCTTTGCAAGCTACATAGCCCCCCAGATCTGCCCAAAGGACACCTGGATGCCTGCTCCCCATGTGAAGGGTGCCACCATGACAAGCATCAGTTCCACAGATGACACTGTTAGTGTGACACAGCCTTGTGCACTTACACTACTGGGATTTCAGTTTCTGGAAACCTCAGCTAACTACAGCATCGAACAAAGAACGCAGCTCCCTGATGCCCAAATCTCTTCTGTCCATTCACAGAAAGCCAGAAAGTTGGGAACCATTTATACCCATTGAACACCAATGCTTCAGCCTCTTAAATCACTCAATCCCTTAAATCTCTACCATTAAAGCTCTACCATTTCTCGCAGCTCACTCCAACAGAGCCTCCCAACTGGAATTCCAGCTTATATGACTCCCAACGGCCATCCCCACCTCTCCATCCATTCCCAGGACACTCCCAGAGTGATCTCTGGGGCAAGAGAACCTTTTCACGTCATTCTCACATAAGATCCTCCCAAGCAACCCTTCTGCCTCCAAGGGTTTAAAAACTAACAAACAAACCTCCTCAATGAAACATTTACCACCCTCGTTATCCAAAGCAGATCTGCTCTAACATCGTGCAAAACACCTCAGGCATCACACCATCTATCTGAGAACCATCCTCCACTCCAGTAATCACCCAGTATGAATGTTTCACTCTCTACTTTACATCAACACCTTGAAGATCAATTATCTGCTTGCACATAGTAGGCAATCAATAAACGCATGTTAAATTGATTAAATGATCCCATAATTTATTGAAGGCACCAGAGCTGGAATCAGATCTCAGGGCACTGAATTCACCTCCCCCAGCCTCCCCCGACCCTGCCGCAAGGCTGAGCCCCACTCCATGCCACCCAGCTGAGCTTCCCTCTTCTCCAAAGACAGGGCCCTCAAGCCCAAATAGGTCTCAGCCAGGAATGTGCTTCCTTTGCTCTCCATGGCCATTTCAAAGCCTTATCGCTTGGTGGTGGCCACACACCCTCTGCCTGCTTCTCTGGGAGCCAGCTCCTCGGGGCTGCCCCCTCCTGCCTCAGGAATGTCACAAAGGAGCCGCTGTTCGCTGTTCAGCCAGGGTGCGTTGGAGGCCAGGCAGGCAGCCTGGGACAGTCCCCAGGCGGGAGGGTGGGCTCCAGAGACCAGACAAGCCCGCCCAGGGGGAGCACCCAAGAAAAAAAGGGCCAACGCTCAGAACGCCTGCAAGGGACCCCCAGGCTCCTGACCCCAAGGCCTGCCCAGGGGGGGCTGCACCGGCCCCTACAGCTCACCCCAAACCAGAAAACACCACCTGATGAGAAGGCCTTGCTGCTGCCAAAGCCCTTGATGAGATACAGACAGCTGTGAGGGCACAGGGAGCAGTGGTTCTCACAGGCTCACTGGTGCCCAGTGCTGGGATGGCACAGACAACAGGTCTGGTTAGGTCCAACTCTCCCGGCCCAGCCAGGTCTGAGGTGAAAAGTTAAAAAGTGAAGTTCAGATAAGTCCGAGAAGAAGTATGCAAACCCTTGCAGGTTTCTTGGTTTGTCTCTGTGAAACAGTTCATGAGACCAAAGGTGCTCGGAGGAAAAAAACAAACAAACAAACAAACAGCTTGATGGTCTGTGAAGATCTGCAGACAAGTATCCTCACGTGCCCGGCAATCTCTTCCCACATCTGCTTCCCAGTCCTCTGGAATCCAGAGTGCCAGGAAGAGCTGGTGCCAGGAAGATCTGCAGTGTTCAAGTCTCCTAAGTTCAGAGGTGGGGCACTATACACATCAGCGGACTCATCCAATCATGAGTTCATGGCTAAATGTGCTGTTAGCAGGTGGGACCTGGGTGGAGATGGGTCACTCAGCTGTGACCTGGAAGGGTGCATTCTTGTCCCCAGCTCCTCCCTTCTCTCTCTCTCTGCTTCCTGCCTGCCATGATGTGAGCAGTTCTCCACCAGGCCCTCCCACCATGTCATTTCTGCCTTGGAGCCACCTGACCATGGACTGAACCCACTGGAAGCCTGAGCCAAACAAACTGCTCCTCAAATTGTGAACGTCAAATATTTTGTCCTAGCAACAGCCAAGTGACTTCAATGAAGAGCTGCATCTCTCCCTGCAAAGCTCAGCTCACAGAGCAGGGTGGCAGCTGTGTGACAAGGGCATGGAAACCTTTCCCTCTGTGCGCCTTGCAGAAGAATGACTTCAACCTTCAGCTTCTGGCAAATCCAGAACCGGGGCAGATCTTCCAAGACTACTGTGGACCACAACCTGCCTCCTTAGGCCAAGGATGAGAAAGGACCTGTGCCCTATGTCCAAGTCAAGACGGGGGAGGCAGGGACAGAAGAAGTGGGCACAAGAAGGATGAGGTCATCTTGAAGCTCATTTCTTTGCTCTGTTCAAACTCCCTAATGGATTCAGAGTTCCTTGTTCTGTGTCTTGACTTTATTTCTGTTTTTCAGCCCCCAACAGCAGGGCAAGCATTCACCATCATGTCCAAGGTCTCTACCTCCAGGGAGTACAGCTCCACCCACGGACTGCAACCCCATCACCAGTGGCCTGGACCCCCCACCCCCAGGCTCAGAGTCTCCCTTTTATGTGAGGAAGCCTAGAAAGGCCACAGACACCAAGGAGTTGCATGCCAGAAATAATTACCCCTAATAATTATAGACCACAGAATGGCTTACTTGGCCTTTCTGCACTTCTCTAAACACAATGCTGACGCTTTCTTGGTGGCCGGTAGAGCTGCATGATTTTCCTCTCCGGGGAAAATCTCAACTGAAGGCTGTGACCCCACACCAGCCATTGGCAGGCTCGCCAGCAGAGCTGGGAAAGGCATGATGTTTATTCACAAGCAGCTGGGGGCCCAAGCACATTCATGAAGAACAGATACAAGCCTGGGACTTGGAAATGTCCAACAGTTAGTCATTTCCCATGAGTGAAAAACAGAGGGACAAAGCCAAAGCAGGAACAAGGGAAAACCCTGTAGATGTAGCTCAAAGTGTAGCCACAACAGCAGAGTGGAAAGCCAATGGGGACGGACAGAAAGACACACACCGCCCTTCCCATCTGTCAGAGGACCCATCCCACAGGCTTTGGCACCCAGAGTGGTTCCAGGGAAACAGCATCTTAAGGATGAGCTTTCCGAACTGGTTCCAAGGTTTCTGAATTTGTTCTCATCAAATACAATTCAAAGACACCAATGATTCTATTTCCGGTAAAGGGAGCATTTATAGTCCCTGCTTGATCTGGTAATAGAGATACACAAAATATCACTACTGGATGCCCCCAAACAAGTATTACTACTACATCTTCCTTCTCCTCCCCCTCCTCCTCCTGTTCTTTTTCTCCTTCTTTTTTGGCAGAATTGGAAACTGAACCCAGGGCCTTCACACTGGACTGCATCCTCGCCCTTTTTATTAATTTTTAAATTTGGAGTCACACTAAGTCACAAGTTGCCCAAGCTGGGATCAAACTTGCAATCTCCCTGCCTCAGCCCCCCAGAGCACTGGCATTACAAGTGTGTCCCACCATACCAGGCTCTAGACAAGTACTTCTAAGAGGCAAGGTTCTAGGTAATGTGTACTGATGCTGTAAAACATTTTGTGTCCAATTAACGAATATAGTGAAAGTGGCTCATTGCTCCTAATGGTACTAGACAAAGAGGGAAAAGGAGGAATTCAGGGGTTCAAATTCCCAAGTCAAGCAACACATACATGACCCCAGTTTTTCTACATATTCCCTAAAAGACACCCTTTATGTCTTACAAATGTAGAACTGAGATGACTAAAACTGAATCCTAGTTCTAATCATGTTAGCAGCTGGATTAGGACCCACATGGAATTCTCAACCTCCATCTGTGCTATTCCAATGAAGGCACTGACTGGGAAGAGCTGGCCATAGATCATCTCTCCCCTGGGTTTCTCGTTCTCTCTCTCTCTCTCTCTCTCTCTCTCTCTCTCTCTCTCTCTCTCTCTCTCTCTCTCCTCCCATTGCTTCTGTTTTTCTACTGGGGACTTGGTGAGATTTTATGCCACTCACAAGCAACCCAGCTAACAGTCTCCATCCCAGTTCTAGGTTCAAGGCTGCCCTATGCCCCATTAGCCACACTAAGGGTTCATTCCCACAGGAACTTGTGTCTTCCATGGCACCCAAGCACCTCTGCTGCCCAGTAGAACATAGACCCTAGAAAGTGGGTTCCCAGGTCCAGTGTCCTCCGCATCCACAACTATTTAGTATATGTGCTGCCGAAGCGAGCACTATAGCCACAACTATTTAGATGTTTCTGCCTCTGGGTCCTGGGAATGAGTGAGGAGGGCGGAGGAGGGGCCTGCCCGGCAAGGTCAGCAGCCACTGCCCAGGGGCCACCATTCCCACCCGACGTCACACAGGGGGCCGATGCAGTCTGGGGGAGCGCCTGGGGGGGGAATCCCAGCGCTATCTTTCAGGGGCAGGAGGGGATGGCCAGGAATCTGGGCTCCTGGTTCCCACTTCCCACAGCTGACCAATCCAGGGCAAGATATTCAATGTCTGCATTTCCATTTCTCATCCAGGAATCGAGCCCATTCAGTGGCCCACTGTCTCAGTTCTCAGGAATAAGCACCATCCGCGGAAGTGTGGTCCTGGCTATGTTTTCATTTCCTTATCTGCAAGGTGAGCTGACGCACTGTCCTGCTGCAGGGCACAGGACAGGGACGGTGTGTGTCCCGGGAGAGACAGGACACCGTCATACAGAGTCAGCAGCACCAGAAAATGGTCCTCATACAAACCTGCACCTTCATCTCACATGCACCAGCACCTAACATCGCCTGTCTTAGACACGGAAGCCGCTGGTCCGTGGGTGGAGACGCGCGTGGGCTCGCTGAGACCCGGACCACCCCCTCGTGTGACTGGCACTGGGGGCTGGACCCAGGGCCTTCACACAGAGCTACATCCCCAGCTGTCTAGTTTTTATTTTGACACAGGGTCTCACTAAGTCATTAGGGTTGCCCAGGCAGGGCTCGAACTTAATGATCCTCCTGCCTCAGCCCTCCAGAGTGCTGGGATGATAGATGTGTGATTTTGATTCTTTTTTTTTTTTTTTTTTAAAGAAAGGTTATTTGTACTCCTGCAGATATACAGGAGACATGTATCATTACTTTTAGCTCAAAGTGGTTTTTTTTTTTTGGTACTGGGGATCAAACTCGGGTCCTTGCGCTTGCGCAGCAGGCAGGGAAACCACTGAGCTAAATCCCCGGCCCCAATTTTGATTCTTTAACAGCCCACATTTGTAGACATGTTTTGAGTTCTCTCCAGAGGTCTGACCCCTCAGAGGCTCTCTGCTGTGTAGAAAAACAATCCTCAGCAGAAAACCCATGTCCTAGGTCACAGGTGTCCTTGCCCTATTTGTCTAACAAGCTCGAGGTTAAGACGGCCCTTCATTCTTTAATCATGAGGCTACCTGGTAAGTTATGAGACAGGTGCTCGTCCACATTATCTCATTTCAACATCATCCTCGCCCCAGGAGATGAGGCTCTATGACTACCTTCCCCTCGCAGATGGGAAACGAGACCTGAAGTGATAAGCAGGTAGTGTGGCTGGTGCACCACGGAGCAGGGTTTGATCGGAGACAGGATGTTGATCCCATGAACAAACTCTTAATACAGCCTTCTACTGTTTCCCTCTTGGTGCCCTGGGAATCCTTGCTTCCATAGGACCCAGGCCCCTCCAGGGTGTCAGGCTCCAGTTTCTACCAGGTCTGCGGAGGATCTAAACCCAGGACACAAAGATAACAGGCTTGTCCATCACTAAGCCAGCTCGAGGTGGGGCGGCCCATCGCGTTACTGTGAAGATTGTGGCCGAAGTTAGATAGCCAATGACCAAGTCCCACATCCACTCTTCCCTGGCTGTGAGCTTCAGTTTACTTGGCTGCAAAGTTTAATATAAAAATTCCTGTCAGGGCTTCCTCCCGAACTGTTAGGCAGATGAAACTGCGAGGTTGGCTAGGGCTCCCAGTCTTGCTTATTGGTCCCAAAGACACTGAAATTCCTTTCTAGCAACTCAAGTATACCTAACTTGGAAGGTTTTCACGGGCCAGAGGGTGACAGTCGAATTACAACATCCACCCTGGAAACCACAGTGGGGCACAAGTAGACAACCAGCAAGAGAGCACAAGAGTCAAAAGGTCCCCCTGGCGCCCACCTCCCAGACACACGCACGGCCGAAAGTGACAGGACAGAGAGCAACACCGGGCCCCAGCCCGAGTGCAGGAGTGGAAGTGGACGCTGACCTGGCACCCAGCTCCGCACCTGCACAGGAAGCTTGGGCCCCAGCGGGGGTCACCTCCACCACTCCACACAGCCAGCGGGATGACCCCTCCTCCTCAGACAGGCGAGGGCCCGACTCTGGGGACACCTGGGCCAGCCAGGCCTCAATTCAAAATTAATTAAAATGTTTGTCTGACACACGAATCTCACCATCTGAATACAGTGACTGGCGAAGACACAATCCCGCTGCCCCTCTCCAGACACTAGGCCAGCCATCTCCATGGAAGCCGCCAGCAGGGCTGTGATGGGGTGCTGAGCGCTGAGGCTGCTCCCCGCACCTGCCCACCGAGCCACCGAGTCAGAGGCAAAGCCACCTGGGTGCCGAGGCCCCACAGACTGTGTCACCACCCTTGGTCTCCTGGAAAACAGCTCACAGCTCATCCCGAGCAGATTCTGTTCTTTCAGGCGATGCTTTCTTACTTGGTTTGTTTGTTTTTGGTACCCGGGATCAAACTTGGGTCCTTGTGCCTGCACAGCAGGCAGCGAAACCACTGAGCTGAATCCCCACCCCGCTCCCTTACTCGGAAAAGACAATTCCCGAGAGCAGCCAGGAGAGGGCAGGGCCCCAAGAACAGCACGGCAACCACTTGAGGCAAAGCCCTGGAGTCCCAGGGAGCTCAGAACAACAGGCCAGAACTGGGGGCTGTCCCGCAGCCACCATCCGGGGGATGAGCGGCTCCAAGGTCCCTGAGCAACTTACTCTGGGCCTGTACCGAGTCACCCACCAGGGAAAAGATCCACTGCCCTCTGGGCTCTGTGCAGATCACATCCCAGAGGACAGACAGCTCTGCGGGCTGAAGTGCCGCACTGAGATGAGGGCAGAGGGAGACACAGAGAATGGGGGGGGGGGCCACTGAGACAAGAGAAGGAAAACTAGAAATCCAGAGGGAAATAGAGACAGAGAAGAAGGGACTCAGAGGCAAAGAGGCACAGAGACATAATAGGGAGAATAGAAGAAAGCAAGAAGGAGCCCTCTGTTTATTTACTGTTTTGTTTTTTAAAACAGGGTCTCACTGTGTAGTTCAGACTGGCCTTGAACTTGTGGCGATCCTCCCGCCTCAGCTTCCAAACTGCTGGGATTGCATGTGTGCACCACCACGCCCAGCTTAAGAAGGATCCCTTTCAGAATGTTCATTTCAGATCAGGCTATGACCCTCGCATCAAGGCCAACTGTAGCTGGCAGGTTTTCCACAGTGGCACCAACTCCTAAGCGTAAAGCATGCACTGACTGGCTGAATTCATGCAGCAGGTAACAGAGGGCTCTGTCACATCCCTAATGGATGAGGCCCTCCACAAAAGGGGCCTCAGGAAGCAACAGGAGCTGCACTTAATGAATTGGTTCCCAAGGACCAGCTCGACCCACCCCGAGAGACAAGCAAGACCCAGCTGCACCCTGAATGCATCCCGACACTGACGGGCAGTAACCCGAGCTCCCAAACCTGGGGTAAAAGGTACCTGCACAGGGCTCTCCCACTCATCGTGGAAGACAGCACCTCCAACCACAGAGGGTAGATCCGCTTTGCAAAATAACCCTGCCCAGGAGTGGCCACTGGAAACTGATGGGATCTCCATGTTAATGCAGAGCTTAATTACACTGCACAATTAAATCCAACCTTTCTATGGGGGGCACCAGCCTTGATAGTATTTCTGCTTTAAAGAGACGTGGACAAGGGCGCAGCTTCGGGACAAAGGGAGGAACTGGAGCTCCTGCCCCGTAGGGCTGTAATTAGGCCAAGGCCAGAAGGCAAAAGTGTCGCACGCACTTGCACTTGGCGCAGGGTGGAAAGGGGCTCTCCCTCCCTCCACACCCGCCCGCGGCCTCACCCTTCTTCCGGGCCTGGGCAATGACTTCGGCTGCGCTCTTGCTCATCACCTTGGTGACATACAGCGGGCAGTTGGTCTGGTTGGCGATGGTGATGGACCGATTCACGGCTTCCGCCTCAACCTAAGGAGAACTGTGCGTGAAAATTCAGCCCAACCAGAGCCCCATCTGGATCCTCCACCCACGACACTGCTGGGCCCGAGTGGCACCAGGACCCCTCAACACTGGGTGCTTGCAACGATGGGGTGCTTCCGTCCGGAGCCTTCTGGAAGTGTGGTCATCAGCCTGGGACCGTCACAAATGCAGATTCTCAGGCCCCGCCTCAAGCCCGGGGACCAGCACCCAGGCATGCGGGTTGGAACAGGAATGAGGCTCAGCCTTTCCTGGTGTTGGAGAACAACCACACCCAGACACTGGCTGATCTCAACCAGGGATATTTGTCGTTCTGCTTCCCCGGCCTTGAGTCAAGACTTTCCAGGATGTAACTTCTGGGCAGGGCTACTGGAGGCTCATGAAGGAGGCCAACACTGCCCACAAAACAATGCACACTCACAGCTCACAGGGCTGGGGCAGCGGGCAGGCAGCAGCATCTGTGCACATCCAGGCCTGTGTCGGTCACAGCCTGGTATGACCCTGGGTACCACCTGTGACACCTGCTAAACAGCCGGTCAGGGAAGCCACCCTGGCTGGAATTACGTCTTGCAGGGGAATCAGCCACGTGATTTTAGAAAGGCAAGTGAAACTGTACCATGGTGGAGCTCAGAAAGTCACCAGATTTCTGGTGTCTCTCTTGGCCCAATCCAGGCAAGATGCTGCAGTGTGAATTCTTGGAGGGGAGAGGAGAGGCCACAGTGCCTGCTATACAGCAGGTGCTCAAAAGGGATTTCTGCAGACACAATACATGCCTTCCCTTTATTAAGGGCACTTCCGGCCAGGGCTTCACAGGAACATCAGAGCTCCTGTCCAGTAGCTTTGCTACCCTGTCTCCAGGAAGGCTCGGCGGGGTGGGGCTCGGGTTCACCCAGGCCTTACCGGGTCAGCTACTGAGGGGATCTGAGACAGCTTCACTCCCATGGGGCCACTCAGCCAGCCCCCACCATGAGGAGAGGTGTCCAGGAATGCACAGGCAAGGCAAGGGCTCTAGAAAGCACTCGTGGAACGCCCAAATGTTTTTAATTCCTGGGATGGATACGGACCCACCCTCCTGGCCCTCCCTCTCCTCTCCTTGCCTGCCAGCACTGGAGCCTCAGGAGTCCCCAGAGAGCAGGGTGACATCGAAAGGGGCACGGGTCATAGCTCAGTAGGAGTAAGGCGCAGGCCCCAGGCCGTGTTCTAATTAAGGGGACCATGAGCCCCGAGCCCCTCACTGGGGGCTGCTCCACCCCTGTGGGACTGGACTTGGGAGAAGAGCTGGGCTCCAGGGGTCTGCCTGGATTTGCTCATTCACTGGGGATGGAGTTCAAACCCCACCCCTGCCCTAGCCAGCAAGAGGATGAGCTAAAACATCAGCTCCCGGAAGAGGAAGTCACTTAAACCTCAACGCTCCATGTTCCACCCAGAGCATTTCACCTGTGCTGATGTGTACATCTCCGACACACAGCACAATTTTCCAAAATGCTCAACTCTGATTTAAGTAATATTTCTTTAAAGTATTTTGAAAAATAAGCTGGGCGTGCACACCTGTGATCCCAGCACTCAGGAGGCTGAGGCAGGAAGATCACCATGAGTTCGAGGCCTGGGCTACACAGGGAATTCAAGGCCAGCATGAAGTACACAGTGGTACTTGTCTCAAGTAACCAAAAATAAAATAAAATATTACAAAAACAGGGTGAGAGTTTAGAAATCAAATTAAAAACACTGGGAGACCACCTAGTCCACCTTCAGATTTTCAAGATGAGGCAAGAGAAAGTGCCGAGAGGGAAGTAACCCATGCAGGGACACGCAGCAGTGTCAGCTCACTGCAGGTCCTCAGCAGACCGCGCCCTCGGCTCCTAGCCCACCGCAGTCGCCTCATTCTGTGAGGCCCGACTGGGAATTCCCCGCTCAGCGAAGGACTGATTCTCCATGACCACACCTGAGTCTCTACTGTCCTCTCAGACATGGCCTCTGACACTGTTCTTCGCTCCCGGCCCACCCATTCTATCCTACACATCTACTTCCAGCTGCCTCTTCCTCCACTGCTCCTTGTGAGTCCTCTCGGCAGTGACTTCTCTCCTCACACTGTCCCCGCAGGGCACTGCCCGACCACCACTCATCCATCTTGGGTAGGTGACTTCTGGAACCCTGCAGTCCTGGTCCATCTTCCTGGCTAAAAACCAGAGGAAGCCCTAGCAGATGGACTCACTGGTGGGGTGGGAAGGAAACATACAGTGGCAGGAGGATGTTTTGCAAAGTTTCAGTACAAGTTGGCCATAAGTATGCTGGTTATGGAAAGGTCTGGAACGTTCTGGAAAGCTTCTGGAAGTTAAACGCGTGTTATGAGCTGCTGTCCCTAGGCACTGCAGGCTCTTCCCTCTCTGTGCTATGACATCTAAGTCCACTCAGAGTGGTTCCATATTTTATTCTCTTTATCGCCCACTCAGGGCTTAACCCACAACAGAACTCTCTTGGCAAACTGGAAAATTAATACCAGGAGCTGAGAAGTGCAGCTAGAGCTTAGAGACAGAAGCTGAATCTCCCTCGCCTGCCCTTCAAGCCCACATCCCCTCCTCACCTCACCAGGCTGCCTAGGGGAGAAAGGATTCATGGAAGGCCCACATTAGTGCCCAACAGAGAGTAGGTGCCCACCCCTGACCAGCTGAGAATCACATTCCCCAGATGAAGGAGCCTTCACAGTGGCCACTGGGACTCTGGAATTCCCTCCACAACTGCTCCAAGGAAGGCCTCCAGGGCTGAGCGGTGTACAAATGGTTTTAATTTTTCTGGTCAAAGGAGCAAGCAGAACAACGCCTCCCAGATAGCTCTCTCCTTTCCAGGAAGCCCAGGCCAGCTTACTTCCTGTTTGTGTGTTTTGCTCTGCAGACAGCTCTAAAGCTCTGAGACTTCACTGCCCCTTCACCTCTTTCTGCAAGGAAAAAGCTAACATTACGCCTCCATCCACCCAGGCCCTGAGAATCTGCCCTCCACATCACGCCCTCTTCTGTCGCCTCTTTCCAGCAAAGGAAGAGGACTGAGCACTTCCAGGACGCCCTCCTCCACCTTCGCCCAGAGCTACTAGGCCGCTCCTCAGTCAGCTCTTCTGCCCAGAGCCCCTCACTAAGGATCAACTTCTGCAAAGTATTTTAAAGCTACATCCTCTGGCTGCTGTCAGTGCCAGCCAGGGCCCTGTGCTGACTTCTGCAATTTAAGATTCCACCCACCAAACCCTGGTGATTGCGTCATGCCCTGAGCAGGCTTATGCTGGGAAAATGCACAATTCCCTTCTGTGTTTGAGGGACGCAGAAGAGTTTTCTGGTCCCCAGTGGGCTGTTTTGGGGTTTGGTCCCCAAACCCAGGCTGCAGGATGCTACTCAAGAAGGGTCTGTGTGTCTTCCCAGCCAGGCACCGAGAACACAGCTGTGCAGCTACATGAGGGAGGTCATCCTGTCCCCGGGCTCAGTCCAACACTTGGCTTTGCCTGTGTAGACACACACACACACACACACACACACACACACACACACACGGCCACAGGGAGACCCAGTCTGCACCAAAGCAGCCCCGTTCTCAAGAGGCACAAAGTGGGTTCTGCATCCTCGGCACAGAGCCAAGGGACACGGAGTCCCTCGGCCCATTTGCGGTGCTCACCTCCTCCGGCCGGCTCAGCACGTGTCCCTCGGGGCCCGTGATGCCCAGATCCAAGATCCGCTGCTGTTCCTGAAATGCACAAGCACAGCCAGGCGGTCAGGGCAGGCAGATTTCAGGGGGCTCTGAGGGCTGGGGACCCGGGCAGAGCCACCGGAGGAAAGGGTGGGACTGGCACCGCTGGGCACTCGGGGCCCGGGCTCCCTGAGAAGGGCTAGCTGCCTCTGAGGGTGGACTGAACCTCCCCAAACCACTCGGCTACCCCTGGAGCCCTGAAAACCACTGCACTCCTGGCCCTGGGCCACAGCACAGGAGCCTGGGTGTGCTGGGGCAGCTGTGTCACAGTGAACAGAATGGAACGGCCGTGAGTCCCAAGAGTGCCCCATGTGCAGCCAGGCCCCGCAGAGGACACCAGGCTCTCTGGTTTCCCAGGGGGGCAGTCAGCTACCAAAGTCACCCAGCTTCCACAAGGCTATGTCCCACCCTCCAGGGACAAAGAAAGGAGAAAGCCCCAGGGCCGGGGATTTAGCTGAGTGGTTCCGCCACCTGTCTTGAAAGTGCAAGGTCCCAAGTCCGATCCCCGGTACTAAAAAAAAAAAAGAAAGCCCCATACCTCTGCAATGATGTCGCCGTTTTCCGCATGGACCTGGGCTATGGCACCAATATCCCGGATCACACTCAGGACTTCATATATCTGAGACAGAGCAAGGCGGGATCAGAAATGCCGACTCTCCCTGTCAGCTCCATTTCTGGGATGAGAAATGGTGCCCCTCGGCTGTTTCCTTTAGGGTTAGGCAGGCCCCGAGGCAGTGTTCCTGGCCACTTCCGGCAGAGGAAGCTCCCTCCGGAGGCTCGGGGACTACACGAGGTTCAAAGAGGAGGCTGAGTGCCCTGTGTCCCCCAGCTAAAGGTTTCCAGGGCACATCCAGCACCTGCTAGGGCACAGGCCCTCGGAGCACCCTCTCCCAAAAGGCTGACTGCAGCTAACTGAATCCAGCAGCCATGTCCCAAGCAGCTGAGGACGCACATCCGGTGGCGACTGCTCTCCCAGACAGCTGCAGTGGCCACCTGACAAACAGTGGTGAGCCTGTTCAGACGGCTGACTCTCTTACCTGGGAATCTGTTAGCTGGAAGCGATCTTTGAAAGCCATGTACACGAGGAAAGAATTTACCCCTATGGGACAGACAAAAGAGAGAGGCAGATGTAGCTTTTAATAGCTAGCTCCAAACCAAATAATCTGGGAGGGAGTAAGAAACTGATAATGGATAATGCCCTGCGTGTGCATTCATGTGTGCGTATGTATGTGTGTGTATAGAAATGAAGAAGAGACAGAAAGACAGACGGAGACAAAGAATGATAAAGGAAATGGGGTAAAATAGAAGCAACCAAGAAATCTGAGAAAGAGGTTCATGAGAATGATTTTTAGTATTCTTTTAATTTTTCTGTAAGTTTAAAATGATATCAAAATTAAAAGCCACGATATTTATCCACCTATGTTCACAGCAGTATTCCTCACAAAAACTAAAAGGTAAAAGCAACTCAAGCATTCACGATGGATACAGAGATATACACAATGGAGTCTCCCCATCTCTCGAGGAAATTGTGATACATTCGACGGGTGAGACAGGTAGACCTTGTGCTAGTGAAACAAGCCACTCACAAAAAGACAAACATTGGAGAAATCCACTTCCCTGAGGGACTTAGAGCAGTCAGATTCAAAAGGGCAGAAAGGAGTGAGAGGTTGCCTGGGGCTGGGGATTAAGGGGAAGGGAAATCACTGTTTCAAGGGCACTGAAAAGTTTAGACTGAGGAAGACTCTGGAGACAAGGGTGGAGACGATTGTATTTAATGCTGCGCTATAATGGATAAAAGTGCTAAGTGTTGCATGAGGCCTATTTCACCACTGCTACTTGAAAAAAATAAAAAAAGGCTGCCCCCAAAACACGTCATTCATTTTTTTAAAAAAGTGAATTAGAAGGGCCTATGGAGATCAGTAATAAGTATCATTTCTTTGGCAATCTTATTGCCCTCCATGCTGATTTTTCAGAAACATTTTTTTTTTAAATAAGGCCCATTACTTCAACAAGCAGATGTATCACAGTGCTCATCCTGGCGTCCCAGAGTTCTTGCCTCCCAAGGCACCAGACCAAACATCCTCTTCTGACATCCATCACAATTTTAAACAATCGTCCTGACAACCTCACAGTCTTAGAGCTTAATTCAAGCCACCTGGGGGTGCTGGAAGCTGCCTGAATTAAATGCCCCCAGACATCCTGGCCCTGCTCTCCTCACCAGGCAACAGTTGCCATGGTAACCCTCCAGCCTGCACCAGAGCAGATTCATTCTAAGTACTGAAGGTTAAGTCCAATGGAGCCTGGGTATCCGCCAAAGGGAGGTCAAAATGTTGCCTATTTTCTTGTTTGTAAAGCTTTGTGCTGAAAAGACTCTTAGGAGTCATCTTAAAGTTCAATATCCTAATTGCAGAGATTTTTTCTTAAAACTTGAGACCCATGAAATTTCAGTGAAGGGCCCAAGGTCACAGAGCTAATCTGTGGAAGGGCAAAGACACAAACCTGAGACTGAAGCCTCTCATACTCGAGCTTTGTGTATGGTATGGATGGATACCTACCATATCTACATACATCTGTAGACATTCCAGAGGGGTTTTTTTGGGGGGGTGGTGTTTGTTTCTTTCGTTTTGTTTTTATGTTTTTGTTTTCTTAAAACAGTGTCTCACTTTGTATTCCAAGCTAGCCTTGAACTCTACATAGCCCAGGCTGGCCTTGAATTCAGTGACCCTCCTGCCTCAGCCTGAGTGCTGAGATTACAGGCGTGCACCACACCTGGCCCTCCTGCTATTTACTCACCGCACAGGTGCTTCTGAGCCTGGAGACCCAGAACCCTAAATCAATAGGTGCTTCCTTGAAGGCCAAGATTCAGTGAGGTCACAAGTGAATGACCGCAGGGAGCCCACCCACAGCCAAGCTCTAGGAGACCCACGAAGACCACATGCTTTGCTCCACCACCTACATCCCAAGGTGCGAGGCAGGTTCTAGACCACAGTCCTAGAGGCCCCTTGTGGTAGTTACGGTTGTGCCAGCCTCCCTGGGAATCTTTCCAGTCCCTGGAGATTTCACAACAGCAAAGAGACACACCCCCGCCCCCCCAACCCGCCTCTCCACCAAGGTAATCTCCAAAGTGTCTCCTCACCCTCCCTCCCATCCTGGGTGCATCCGGGTTTGCAGGAAGAGGCTGCCCCAGCCCTCATGGCTCAGGCGACTCCCTGGGACACTTGTCCCCCTTGGAGTCTCCATCGCTCTCAGCTCCCAGACTGGCTCGACAGCCCAGGTACCTCACATGGGTCAGCTGGGAGCAAGAACTGGTGCAGAAGCCAGGCCTGCTCTGGATGAAGGCGACATGACCACGCTGGGTCAGCAGGAGCTGCAGCCCGAAGCTCTCTGTCCTTGCCATGGCTCCCAGAGCACTGCCCGTTTATGGACTGAAACGGAAATGGGAGCCCTGTCCGCGTGACCTACCGTGGTCCTTCACCAGCGCTTCCATCTCCTCCTGGATGCCCTTGTGCCACTCGGTGATGTCCACATGCAGCGAGTAGTCGCAGCAGGACTTGCTGTCGGCCCACTCCCTCCACTGGTCGAAGGCGGCCAGCAGGCTTGTCCCAGGCTCCGGGACAACATGGTCAACTAGGGAGGAACAGACACTTGTCATCAGTGACAGGAAACCCACAGGCCACGGCTGGCAGGTGTCCCCCCTTCCCTCAACCCCCAAATGGCTTCTTGGGTTCCCCAAGGAGATCACGAGCCAGCGATCTCCCCAGCCAGTGTCCTAAGAATGCACTTAAGCCTCCGAGAACCCAGAGTCCAAAAGCAGAAACTTGGCCCTGGTCGAAGCTCCCGTGAAACCAAGCATGCAGGGCCGATCTGATTTCCCAGCTCAAAGTCCCCGGGGTGCATTTGGTGGACAATGAGTCCTTACAGACAATGGCAGTGTCAGATGGCTCCAGGGAGCAGCCAGACTCTGCCTCGAGCTGATAGTGCAGTGAGCCGCCCCACTAGACAGCCAGGCCCCGAGAGGCTGGACAGCGGCCAGGCACACTGGACCTCTCCAAAGCCCGGGGCATCCCCACCCTCTCCAGCCGCTCAAGTTGCCTTGAGCCGCAGCATAATACCACTCTGTAATTGAAGGAGAACCTTTCATCTTAAGCGTTCAAAGCGTGTTGAGACTGTAGCTGCTGTTGTATTATTATCGAGGTAGGCGGATACGAACGACAAAGGACCAAGAAGCCCTTATACTATTTGAGTCTCCACTACCCTGCTTTAACCGGGGACAAGAATTCCTGCACGTAGGATCGTTATGAGGATTAAACGAGACAGCATGTCTGTCAACATGATATTGCTCCCTGACTGAAATCCTCCAATGGCTTCCCTTGCACTGCATGTGAAGATTAAGTCCCCAAGAAAGTCTACAAGATCCCACCAGCTTGGCCCTGGTCCTACCTACACAGCGTGACCCTGGCCATCTCTACATTGCACTTTGCTATCCAGCTACACCACTGTCTTTCAGTTGCTACAAGATCAGCCTGCTCACTCTGGCCACAGGGCCTCTGCATGTGCTATTAGTATCTCTCCTCGGTCTTGAAGAGCTCTCACCCAGCTACCATGATGGCAGACAGTTTACCAGAACTACTATCACCCATCTTCTTCATAGGAGGCACTAACATACAAACTGATATGATTTGCCAAGGGTAAATCAAGCACTTGCAATAATAAAGATAAAACCCAGGACTCCAGACGCTTAAAACAATGAGCCCTTCTTCCTAAATAAAATATTAGATTTTCTACACCCAGGTAGGCAATTCTGAGATCAGAAAACACCAGTGCAGACAATGCTAGTGAGCTCAGATTTCTGAAATGGATCAAATTTTGCAGACACTGCTCAACTGTAATCAGCTGAACTTGGCTTTGAATATGTCAGAAATGCAGCCATCTGATACACCAGCTACCCTGGTGGGGCACTACCAACTGTATACACATGCCGAGTATCATACTGCGCCCTGTAAGAATGTGCAATTGCTATGTGAAAATTAAAGATGTTTTTAAAAAATGTTTCATTATGGCCATCTAAGAGAAATTTTCTTTTGACTTTAAGTACTTGGTTATAAGTACTTGTAAGTATTCGTATAAAACATAAACATTTGTCCACGTAATTAAACAGGCACACACAGATCTGGAATCTGACAGCATCATGTAATGACTGTCAAAAATGATGGACACTTTTAATGCAAGCTATCCCATTGGTAAAATGCTAATGCAGAAATGGAGAAAACAATTCCAATTTTGCTTTTGAAATTGTAGCTCCAGGCTCCCCCCAACCACAAAAACACCACTTTGCAGCACTTATTTTGGACGTCCCTGGCCACACCCTACTCCCTCCTCACCCTCTGGCAAACCACCCTCCCCTGCAGCCAGGGGGCTTCTGGAACGTCCCTCGGGGCCACAGGTCCCGCAGGGGCCGAAGTCCAGGTCCCCAGTCCCTCTGGAGAGCCACGCCTCGCTGCTCTGCACCCAGGGCTGCAATGGTCTCCATGTAAGCAGCACTCTGACTCCCTCCAAGTAGGATGCAACCTCCTCACAGCAGGGACTGGATGTCCAGATACCGGAAAAGCTCACTAACTTTCGTAACTACACGAAAGCATGTTCCCTCTCCACTCCCACATTCCACTGGGCAAGGTCAGGTGGAGAACCAAAAGCGATCCAGACATCTGGGTCCCAGGGAAGCCCCAGTTCCAAGACCCCACCGTCACCTCCACCGGCCACCCCAGGACTTTGGACTCCGCAGGTGCTCAAATCCCTCCTGTGAATGGCATGGTGTCTGCACAGGACCCACACACTTCCCCCTGGGTTTGTTTTGTGGCCTGGGAGGGGCACTTCTGGGTGCTGAGGATTGAGCCAGGGCCCCTAAACACACACCCCACCGCTGAACTACACCCCAGCCCCTCACACAGACTTCACCCTGTCTCTGGACTACGCGTGCCACCTGAGTCAACGCCTACGCCTCACTCCCTTCGTGTGGCTCCAGCATGAGTGCTGGATGCAAGGCACATTTCAGTTTTGCTTTGGGGAACTTTCCAGGAATTTTTTTTTGGCGAACATTTTCAATGTCTCTCTGGGTTGCCTGAACCCAGAACTGGTGGATCTGCTGCTGCAGACCCGGTGGGTACAAACAGCCACCTGCCCCGCTCAACCCCATAGCCCTGCCAGCCCGCTCTGCCTGTCCTGCCTGTCATCAGTGCTGGAAACAGAGAGACCACCCCCTCTGCACGGCCTGGGGTGTGGGAGAAAACCACCTTCTTAAAAATGATTTTTCTGAATGGTGCAATTTTGCTTTAAGTAGAAAATTACAAAACTACTGAAAATCTTAGAGAAAATTCATATCATATCCAATTCAATCAATACCACCCTCCCAGTGGTCCATCTACTCAAACCTGCCACATTTTTGTAAGTCTTTTTCCTATACATTATATTGTTTATGTACAGGCTACCTCCTCCCAAAGATGTTTTCAAATGAATTAAAAAGAGACTTAAAATATAAAATTTGATAAAGCAAAAAATGGACTAAAAGATGATAACAGAGAAGGAAAACAACAGTGGGCCATGAAGTGAACGGAGCCTCACGCGGGTGTGTTTACACGTGTGCCTGCGTAGCCATGTCTGTATCTACTGAACACATGCATGTCTGCATGTGCGTGTGGATGTGTGCAAAGATAAAGAGCACTCACGTTTGTACAATGGCTCGGTCTACAGCTAGGCTCCCCAGCCAATGTAAATCAGGAAGCCTGCTATGTTCCACAAATCTACTGCTTTGGAATTTAAAAAATATCACGTAAACCAGGCATTACACCTGTAATCCCAGCACTCGGCAGGCTGAGGCAGGAAGATCACTATGAGTTCCAGGCCAGACTGAACTACATAGTGAGACCCTGTCTCAAAAACAAAAAAATCACTTCTCAAAGAAAGACAAGGACTACTGAGGCTAAGATCCCATGCTCATAGCTCCTGAATAATCTTCTTCCCCTTGTTGATTTACGGTAACTCTCTAAAAATGTTACTATTATTAGACAAATATTTTAAATTTATATACACAGTACATTACAGAGGGAGAAGGCCAGGTTTTCCCTGAGCTGTTTTCTTTTGTTCCATTTATCTCCGCCAGTATTAAATACAATTGCCTCTTGGTATATCTTAATATTTGGTCATAAAAGTTCCCCTTTTATTCTCTCATTTTTCATTATTACTTTTGGCAGGTGGTGGGAGGGATGAAACCCAAGGCTGATGCGTGCTGGGCAGGGGCTCTAGCCCTGAGCTACACCCAGCCCTCTAGTTTTATGGGGAAAAAGTCATTTCCTCAGTAAGACTTGCTCCCCCCACCCACACCCCCACCCCAGGAATGTCCTCTGCAAACCTCAGGCAGGCACCTGCTGTGGCTCCACCTCAACGGAGGGACACTGCCGAGGACCCCCAAGGACCAGAGAGGACTCAGACCCAACGCACCCTCAGGTTCCCGGCAGACAAGGCCCAGCCCTGCAGGAGGCTCCCAGCAGCTAACAACACTCGGAAACAAGTCCCGGAGGGGCCTGTGCTTGTTTTCCCACAGCCTTTTCTACTGAGGCACCCCTGGGAAGCGCGGCTCCACAGGAATGGGGCAGAGGGTCACCCAACTTCCGGAGGGAGCAGTGCGGGCCCGGACGCAAGGCCACCTCTCTGGGGACCTTCGGGAGCCGGCTGTCCCTGAGCTGGGGAGCGCTCGGCCATCGGCCTTGGAGAGCACAGGTCAAAGCACCTGCCCACTGCCCGTGGGTCACTTCCTCTCTCCCCAGGCTCCATGGTGGCACCCGGAGGCCTATGAGCCTGCCCAGCCCTGGGGCAGGGGCCTGAACTGCTGTCGTCAAAACACCACCAGCTATTTCCAGAGCCCTACTACACGCCGCTGATCCACAATCCAAAATGTTCAGAATCTGAAACGTGATTCCACAAGCAGAAGATTCCACTGTCAAAATGCAGGCACACAGGTGGGAGGGGTGGCACACTCCCACCCCTCTGGGAGGCTGAGGCAGGAGGATCACTTAGCAAGACCCTGTCTCAAAACAAAAGAATAAAAAAGGGATGGGAATGTAGCTCATTGAGAAGGCCCTGGGTTTGATCCCCAGCATCAACACCATAAAAAAAAGTAGGCATGTTAAAATATTGTATAAAGTTACCTCCAGTCTGTGCATGTAAGGGGCATTTGAAACATAAATTAATTTCATGTTTGGACTTAGGGTCCATCCCCACAGAATCTCATTATGTATATGAAGATATTCTAAAATTAGAAACACTATTTGAAACTCATCTGGTCCCGAGCATTTCAGGTAAGGGATTTTCAACCTGTACTCCCATAAAAACTGTCAAAGGTACCTCCATTTTTTTTTTTGGTACTGGGGATCGAACTCACTCGGGACCTTGGGCTTTTGAGACAGGCTGCGGAACCAGAGCTAAATCCACGGCCTGGCACCTCCATTTTTTCAACAGATTGACTGTGACACAGTTCACATACTTTCAAATTTACTTGGCTAAGGGCACAAGGCAGCGGTTTTGAGTATATTCACAGATCTGTTCAGCCAACACCACAACCTAATTTTAGAAGA